AATAATAATAATAATAATAATAATAATAATAATAATAAAACTATAAGATTAAAAATTTTTACATGTTCATTACAGTATGGTACTGATCACTACCATTTTCATAATCATTATTTTTCCATATATAACAATTAAAAAAAGAAAAAGAAAAAGAAAATAAAAATAAAAAATACAAAGCATAGCCTCAAAATTCTACAGCTTATAATTAACCTGTAGATATCATACTTATAAACTTTAAAAGCAACAAAAAAAAAAAAAAACAAAACAAAATGCAAGAAAATTAAAAAAAACCTACACATTTTTTTTCCTTTTTTTTCCCCCTCTTCTCCTTGATTACATAACAGAACATGCATTTGGGTTCTCATCACTGAAGATCTGGGGAGGATAGGCATTGTTGGCGTACAAGTCCATGGCGTACATTGGCGGGTAATTGTTAAAATACTCATTCCTCCTCAACTCCAAAACATTATTATTAACAACTTTGTTATCTTCCCCAACAACATTAAAAACATCTTTGTTAATGTTGTTTTGATCATCTGGTGCAGCAGATTCTTTGTCTTTCTTGTTGGCCTCTTCGGAAGCGGCGGCGTCGCCGCCCTTTTTGTTGCCGTCTTTGTTGTCGACACCGCCACCACCATTTTCTTCCGCTTTTTTCTGATCGGGATTTTTGGCCTGATCTCCTTGATTTCCTAATTTGCTTTTTTCATCTTTGTCTTTCTTGGCATTATTATTATCAGGGTCTTGCTTGACAATCACTGCGTGTTTGCCGGTTCTCTTGTACAAGTACTCCACTAACTTGGCGGGATCCAAAGCTCCCTTTACTTTCACTTGTGAGCTCTTTAGATCTGGCTCTGCAGTTTCCACACCTATTTTTTTTTAACCGAAAAAAAAAATTAACATAATTAAAGTGAACCCTTTTTTAAATGAAGAATATAGATCTAGAGAGTACAATAATGGTGGGATTTTTTTAAGATAAAAAAAAAACCAATATATTTGAAGGTAATAATGAATTGACTTTAATTGGATTGGATTTAATCGGAATCATCCCCACTTAATATTTTATTGATTGAGAAAGAATGTATTGATTTTGAAAGATTGTTGTGTGTGTGTGTGTGCGAGAATAA